TATATATATATATGTATATATATATATATATAAATATATATATATATCTATATAGTGCCTTGCAAAAGTATTCGGCCCCCTTGAACTTTTCAACCTTTTGCCACATTTGTTTTTTTGTTTGTCAACATTTTGTTCTGTTACTTGAAAATTATTATGATTGAAATAATTGTTTGAAAAAAGGGGCAGATATAATAAGATTTTTTCTTCTTTCTGCTGCCTTTCATTTTAAATCTTTTGTATCTTTTTTTATATTGTTATGGAATTGTTTTGCACTTTTTTTAAAATGAATAAACTTTATACCATACATTTCAGGCTTCAAACATAAAATTTTAATTTTTTGTGAAGAATCAACAAGTGGGACACAATCGTGAAGTGGAATGAAATTTATTGGATGTGTCAAACTTTTTTAACAAATAAAAACTGAAAAGTGGGGCATGCAATATTATTGGGCCCCTTTACTTTCAGTGCAGCAAACTCACTCCAGAAGTTCAGTGAGGATCTATGAATGATCCAGTGTTGTCCCAAATGACTGATGATGATAAATAGAATCCACCTGTGTGTAATCAAGTCTCCGTATAAATGCACCTGCTCTGTGATGGTCTCAGGGTTCTGTTCAAAGCTCAGAGAGCATCATGAAGACCAAGGAACACACCAGGCAGGTCCGAGATACTGTTGTGGAGAAGTTTAAAGCCGGATTTGGATACAAAAAGATTTCCCAAGTTTTAAACATCCCAAGGAGCACTGTGCAAGCAATCATATTGAAATGGAAGGAGTATGAGACCACTGCAAATCTACCAAGACCCGGCCGTCCCTCTAAACTTTCATCTGGAACAAGGAGAAGACTGATCAGAGATGCAGCCAAGAGGCCCATGATCACTCTGGATGAACTGCAGAGATCTACAGCTGAGGTGGGAGAGTCTGTCCATAGGACAACAATCAGTCGTACACTGCACAAATCTGGCTTTTATGGAAGAGTGGCAAGAAGAAAGCCATTTCTCAAAGATATCCATAAAAAGTGATGTTTAAAGTTTGTCACAAGCACCTGGGAGACACCAAACATGTGGAAGAAGGTGCTCTGGTCACATGAAACCAGAATCCAACAGTTTGGACACAATGCAAAACGATATGTTTGGAGTAAAAGCAACACAGCTCATCACCCTGAACACACCATCCCCACTGTCAAACATGGTGGTGGCAGCATCATGGTTTGGGCTTGCTTTTCATCAGCAGGGACAGGGAAGATGGTCAGAATTGATGGGAAGATGGATGGAGCCAAATACAGGACCATTCTGGAAGAAAACCAGTTTGAGTCTGCAAGAGACCTGAGACTGGGACGGAGATTTATCTTCCAACAAGACAATGATCCAAAACATAAAGACACATCTACAATGGAATGGTTCACAAATAAACGTATCCAGGTGTTGGAATGGCCAAGTCAAAGTCCAGACCTGAATCCAATCGAGAATCTGTGGAAAGAACTGAAAACTGCTGTTCACAAACGCTCTCCATCCAACCTCACTGAGCTCCAGCTGTTCTGCAGGAAGAATGGGCAGAACTTCAGTGTCTCCATGTTCAAAACTGATGAGACATACCTCAAGAGACTTGCAGCTGGAACTGCAGCAAGAGGCGGAGCTACAAAGTATTAACGCAAGGGGGCCCAATAATATTGTAACGAGTCTGTATGGATCAGCACAACACCTGACTCAGGACAATATTAAAATAAAAAGGTTTTATTTATTAAAGGCGTTCGTCTGGGGAGGATCTGAGCCTCAGTTCTGGTCCAATCTATGAAGACAGACAGGTTAGTGACTGCAAAAAGTTTCCGGGAGCTGAGAGAGGTGGTGTGCACATCACTAACCTTCTGTGGCAGGAGCAGGGCTGAGACAGAGAACGTTGGAGGGCTGGGCAGGAAACAGAATCCAGGGACGTAGCAGGGGTCGAGAGCCAGGAGCTGTGTGAACAGGCAAAAGGATGATCCGTAGTCGTGGTCGAAGAGGAGAGCGAGGTTGTACCATGTAGGCCGAGAGCGTGGTATCCAGACAGGGGCAAAGTCAAAGCGAGGAGTCAAGAGGGAAGCTGTGGTCAAAAACGAAGAAACTAGGAACAAGCGAATGCTGGATAATTTACTGGCTGTGAGGCTTTCAATAATCTGGCACTGAGGAGAGTGAGAGTGGAGCTTAAGTAGTGAGCTGAACAGGTGTGGCAGGTGAGTGGTGATTGCAGAGACAGGGTGCAGCAGATGAGTGCAGATTGCTGAGAGAGAGTGACAGGAGCAGAAAATGGGTGATAGGCAGTGCAGGACCAAACAGGATGAAATAAACAGAAACTGAGGCAGGAAAAAACGTGAATGATCTTAAAACAGGGGCTGTGATATGAGGAGCAGAGGCTTAGGCAGATGGGGGGGCAGCGGGGGCCGCTGAGCGTGACAAATATTGCACGCCCCACTTTTCAGTTTTTTATTTGTTAAAAAAGTTTGACACATCCAATAAATTTCATTCCACTTCACGATTGTGTCCCACTTGTTGATTCTTCACAAAAATTAAAATTTTATATCTTTATGTTTGAAGCCTGAAATGTGGTAAAAGGTTGAAAAGTTCAAGGGGGCCGAATACTTTCACAAGGCACTATATATATATATATATATATATATAT